GAGTGCTATTGTGAGTTCAGGGACTATCAGAGCTTAAGACGCGAATCGAAAATGGCGCTGTTTGGGAAACCTGTAAGTTTTATTTGCAAAATTTTGTAGTAGTTTGTGTTTTATCCTCTTTTCAAATACCTAAGTTAAGGAATAACTTACTTGTATATTCTGTCACAAAATTTATGTGATCATTCTGTTACAGAGTCGACAAAACATTGAAACCATTGAAAAGTTAATTAAGTATAATTACCGCTTCAATATCCACTTTTGAAATTGTCAACCCACGGCTATACATTTAAAGACAATACAAGAATCTCTACTATTCACTGAATCTTACTGTTTCTGAGACAGCCTTAATATTTTAGGTCAATTATGGAATTAAAACAGCATTATGTCGGAACAAATGTTAACGAAGTCTTCAATGTCAGCCACATTTCTCGAGGATGATACATTTTCTTTAATATAGCCCGTAATCGTTTGCAGTCACGAACGAGTTTCAAAGTTATTACAGGAAAAACAGTGAATTGTAAATTCTGAAATAATGTAAATGATGTGGTAGGAAGAGATGGCTGGCTTTAATGCATTTTACTTATTCATCAGTATCATTATTTCACTTATTCACATAAAGTAGGTATCGGTAAAATTGTCGAACAGTAAATTGCTTACGTTGTCTATTTCACGCCAAAAAACGTCATCATTTTTCTTTTAGCGGTTCATAAAATCACGATCGAAGGTGATTAACTTAGTATGCTTTTGGATTTGAAGATTCTTCCTAATGATAAAATACTATATGCATGTTATGTTAAACTAAGGTTATTTGCTCTGTGTGTATAGATGAATAACGTTAATATATTACAAGTCGTGTGAAGCCATTATGCATAACTCTATGTCACGCTTGTGAAGAGTGGTTACAACAAACTAGGAGTTCAATATTTCCATACCTTCCATCATGTGAATGCCGAGTGATTTTCGTTCACAAATCATTGTAGTAATTATAGCCTTTACATGAAAATCATGACTTTGATCGATCGTTTAGCACCTAATTAAAATTGTTACACTAACCGTTTTGAACCACATATTAATATAGGTGTCAAATAATTTAACTGGTTATATTTGGTTTTTGGTTAAATATTCTTTTAATATCATGTTCATGTTTTCTGGACACGATGGTTATGGAAGATTTATAAACAGGTTAGGTAAGGTTAGGTACGTATGTTTTAACGTCATGTACCTAAAATCCATACAGTTTCATCATAAAGAGCTTAGTTATTAAATTATAATATTGAATTGATTAATTAATTTGATACTTTTTTTTTTTTTTGTTATCGTTGTGGCAATTACTTTATTAAAAGTTACAAACAAGTAAATAAATTGTCAGTACTTTTATTGTATTATCAGTTTCAATGAATTGTCTTCTATTATGACATCATTTCCTTCACTCGTATCACGTTAATCACTTTTCTTGTAGTCACGATTGTGTTAGTTGTTTTTCTTTTACATCGTGTAGTTAGGTAACTACCGTAACAATAAATTAAAAAAACATTCATTTTCAGCTTCATTTGTTATTTACACTTGCAAATACCCACGTTGCATGCGAGTTACGCATGTGCGCGGGCGCAGGGTTCAACGACTGTGTCGCAAATGATACAGGTTCTATTCCCCGTTCGTGCGTTACATTTAATTTACATAGCCAGTTTTTATCTTATACAAGTCGTGACATCACCTTTTTATTTGAATCGAAAGTGAATACGTTTAGCCTTGTTGGGTCTAAACCACAAAATTATACCTAATTCAATTTTGTTAAGTCTAAATTGTTATCCTCATTATGCGGTTAATGTTAATGTTTCTGTTTGTGAAGTACGGGCAACAGCACCTTAGACTGAACATTTTAGTTGCTAAATAGCAACTACTAATGGTCACCGCAGAATAACAGCGTCGTGTTCTGGGTTTTATTTACCACTCCAGAGCATGACACCATGCTGAGCGGTGGCCAGATTTGGTTCTAACTTGTATCTGTTATCTGTTTTTTTGTTATCTGATTTTGTGTGCTATATTTTAAGTTGGAACCAAATAAATGTTTTTCTTTCTTTCAACTACATCATCGACTTAAGATGCCACAGTGTGAAGCTTGATGTGCCGTCATCCATCATAATGGCGTGACGTTGCATGCAATATAAAAAATATATTACTACTAACACAGCTAACAAAACTTATCAATTAAACCTTCAAGTAAGAAAAATTACTAGTCATCTTAATTTCAAAACATAAAAACACATAAACCAAGCTACCAAGAGCATAATGCTAAACCGTGTTAATTTCAAATGAAATTTCAAAGTTACAAAGTATAACACTTTTAATTAACTAAAAATTAACAGCTTGTAGCTGTAGCAAAAACAATTGTTCAAGCCAGCTGTTAGTTTGTTGATAAACGAGCTGCTACTCAAAAGTGGCCTTTATATCGTTGAAATAGAGTAAATGCAAGTTGATGGAGTGTAACACATTGCAAACCTGTTTGAGAGCAATGAACCATAGCTTATCGTAAGAAGAGATACTGCTGTTGCAGCTGTATTTTAAAACTGGGATAATACACGCCTTTGCGACCCCTTTCATAGGAGGCCATTATTAATTTCATATTGACATACAAAAATACCACGAATTAACGACAATTTGGAGTAGAAGTTCAGGTACTACTCGTATGTCAGAGGTAGATCCCCGTACAATACAAATATTGCGGACTTATGAGTGTTTTGGTCTAGGTGTTTGTTATGGGGACCCCATCTTCACGAATTTGAGAAAAATACCACAAGTTATGTACCAATATCTAAAGTAGATGTATTTTTTGGTAAACTTCATTTAAATTTCTACATACAAAAGGGGTTTACGGACTCGTATTGTTTGGTAGAGTAGGTTAATCGGTTTGCTTTTTTTAGATTTATGAAATGAAATTGGTTATGAGTTTTGCGTCCCGTACAATATCAAATTGGTCTATTTCGGGGCTTTATTTCCCCTTAACACTTATTATCTAATTAAATACATACATCTTATTCTAGACTAAACTTATGATTGTATTATCCGTAAGGAGCGTGCTTATTATAGTTATATCACACTAGAGAGACAATTAAGATGATAACATAAAGGCCATAGATTCAATTAAAATAAGTGCTTATCAAGAAAACATTGGAACAAAGAAGTGAAAATACCTAAAGCACGGTATATCCTCGTTCTAATTAATGTCACTTTGTTTCAAACTCGTTGCTGACACGTTTTGCGACAGGTTTAGCTTTGAAAAGACAATTAAAAGTTAACTTACAGCAGTCTTTTTTAAGTTTCATAATACTGACATTTTGTGGTATTCCTTCGATAGGAACTGTACTTTTAAAGAAATGTTACTGTCTGTCTCTCTGTCATACTTTTACCTACTACAGTGATCTTTTATCTTAAATATTATGGGCGTATCTTGTTGTATCAATTCCATCCATTTCTTTAAATGTTGTAGTTACTTTATCACACATTCACCTACTCCTGAACTGATTTTAATTTAAAAGACAATTCAGCAAAATTGAAGCTACATTTTCAAATACATTTAGAGGGGCTGAAATACAGCAATCCCAGCAGACATCATAAAAATGAATTATGTCCCTTGTCATCTTTATTACACATACAAAAGGTAAATCGTCTCCAGAGTCAGAGAATTCGTAACTTTATGAGCTTAATGTGTCTTTAAATACGAAAAGAAATAGAACACTCCAGGGAGCTCTCTTTAATTCGGTGCTACGTTTAAACCTGACACCGCGGAAACCGGTGTGTCAGGTTTGGGGGGTATCTTTCACACGTGAGCCCGAGGGCCGACAGACCGATTTCGACATGGCTTAAGTAAGGCAACCTACAAGCACCTACAGGTCTATAATTTGAAAGATGTTTAAAATCCACGCTAAATGACAGAAGACTTGCGAGAACTTTTTGCTAAAAGAAGCCAGTTCGATTTTTTCGAACTAATGACAGCGGCGTCGCCTGATGGTTAATAATACAGCGAATATATCCCCAGCTGGGTTGTGGGCTCAAATCTTGCTGTGGATGTCATGTTAAATGGCCACAAGTATCTATAAAACTGATATTGCTCATTTTGTTAATTAATATAAATCTCTTGTAGGTCTACTCTCGATTGACTCTTTTAGATTTGTTTAGTTAGGTACATCAATCGCGATTCATTTAATATTGTGAAAATAATACATATAGTTTTGCTTAGTGAAATATTTTAAATACGTCTTTCGTATTTAATTAAGGTCACGCGCTATCGCCAGTTGACGTAAATACAAGTAAAATAACAATAATAATATCAATCAATTAACACAGTATATGTCTACGTACACTTAACTGCTGTATCTAAGTGTTATATTTAATTATTTTATTTCAATTAATAAGAAATAGAATTGTTTAAAGCAATTAAAATTCAATCGGTGCGATAATTGTTGTTAAATTAAAATTAAAATCGTGATGCATTTTAACTTAAAAAATACGTTAAAAACGGTTCCTATGCCAATGCAACGTGCTCAGTTGAAAAAACATGTTCTACTCGTGTATTACATAGATAAGCAGTTAATAGACTCGTGACTTTATTTTTATGTATGGAGATTAAATTCACCCCACTGAAAAAGTTTTCCTACCGTATGATAAGATGATGGGTAGGTGTCGCTTGGCAGTTGACGTTATTGTTCGCACCACCAGTCTTTCGCTTGAGGTGTGAGAGCATTATTGAGACTCTACCTTCAGAAATATATCTTTACTCTTCAGTTAGCTTCAGAATACGACTATTGAAAATCACAAAAGGACATTACAGCATTTGATCTCGACTAAACATTATCTATCTCTGAATTTATATAGCTTTTCAGCACTCAATTGTCCCAACAATTAATACAATACAGGCTGTAACGTTTTATCTAAGTAAAGTTTCAGTGCGTAATATGTTTTTACGTGTAATAAAATTAAGTTTTATTTTTATTTGTCCACAGTTTCACTCGGTGACAGACAAAAGAGCTCACGCCACTGAATGTGGGCAGAAAAGTCTTACAATAGTCTCGGAGAAGAAACTAGAAGACGACTCATCAGATTCTTCGAGTAGCGAGAATGTGGAGATTGAAGGTATAATATTTCTCTTAATTATTGAAACAAAAAAACAAAATTAACAGATAAAATCATTTCGAACTTTGACGCAGAGCTGAACTTTAAGAATAACACCCATTTTCAGCAAATCGAACTCAAAACGTTGAATAGAGCACTGTGATTGGTTCATGTGCGACCCTGTGCGTCCACGGGCACTGTGAAACTTCATAGTAATGTTTGTGAATACAAGCATAAGCATAATTTTTGATCTTTGCATGAAAGTCAAGGTCGTAAACGAAAATTGTTATAATCAAGCATGGTATTTAATTTTGCTATGTATGAAAAATGTGTAAAAATAAAAAAAATAAAAGTAGGTACCTACTGGCAAAGAAAACAAAGAAGAAGAAAATTAAAACACTCATAGATGAAAAAAATAATGCTAATCAAATTCAAATTCACAAAGGCTGAAGACATACAGAAATATTTAAAAAACAACGTAGGCCTGCCGTTTTAATTATAACAGGCATTCATTGGGTTTTCTGTGAAACAATAGCCATTGTATCGCCATGGGCAATAATTGTACAGGGAAATAATTAGAGAGGAATCAATGTTTAAGGTGTTGCGGACAATGATAGCTTCAAACGTCGGCCATTATCGTTTAATTCAATTGACACACCTTGACATATTAATATTATCCGTCAACAATGATAAAGAAAGTATTACAAAGATAAAAAAGTTGGAGGAAAAAATAATATAAATTATTTGTAATCCAATAAGACTGGAGTTATATTTGCAAATAATAAACAAAGTTTTGATATGATTAGATTTAGATACAAATATTTGTTCCGAGAATGTACAGGCCATACTAATATTTAGCCAGAAGCTTATTGTTTACTTAGACGAGTAAATAGCTAATCCTTTTATCGACTAAAATACTGCGACCTTACCTGACTGACAAGTTTATTTAAATAGAAGACAACCAATAGCATAGCAATCAGAAACCTTTCAAGATAAAAGAAAAAGTTACGTCTGTCTGAGTTACAACAATGATTCACTACGCAATTGTGCCAATCATGCCACTCATGGAGTGGTGAGTGACCAATCGCACTCACTTTGCCAATAACATGAAGAAATAATCTTAAACAGATTATTGTTTCATAAACAAATTATAGCTGAAAGATTATGAAACCAAACTAAAATCTTTGCAATCGCTAATAGAAACAAAATTACCAAACGTAAACCCCTTTTTCGTAAAATGCATTGAACTACGTCAAAACTATCCTAACTAATCCAAATCATCATTCAATTAAATATTAACACGATTATATCGCATTTTACGTAGCAGCTTAGCACACCGTGTTTAAAAAGTTCTCAAACACTGAAAAGTCCGAAAAACCCTGAATAAAGCAATCAAAATATTATTGCAATAGAAATAACTGCGATGATAAGCATATCCAGATAAGAACCAAAACAAATTATTCTGGTAATTTGACTCATATGACTAGCTCATTTCTTACGAGTCAACAAAATAAACAATGACGTAGAAATTATATCATCATTCATCACTTTATCCCAAGTAATAACTGACTCTGGTAAACTGATGATCACATTTTGTAAAATTTCTGGGAAATATTATCATTCGCAGTTATTTTTACTACGAACACTTTTTTCCGTTATTTTATTAAGTTTGTGAAGTCCATAAACCTTGGAAATTACCGTAGTTATGCAGTTTTGATCTGACACATGAGTTCGACACCTACGTCACTGGGTTTGAGTCGTGACTCGTGATTCATACAAATACTCGTATTTTATATTCTACAGCTAACCCGTTATCGATGACGCAAAAAATGGCATATTATGATATTGTGAGGAAACCGAGGGTCGTATTTTGTAGGTTAAATTTGCATTTGGCAAAAATCGCCAGGATGTTGAAACGTTTTCAGTTATAATATTGAACGTTTGATGAATAAAATAGGAAATTATGCATGAGAGATGGATGATTGATCTTAAATCGCCGTTTAAATACGGATTACGAAATAATAAAAGATTTTTTGCTTTATTGAATCTTTTTAATGGAAAGCGCAGATCGAAGTGAACATTCTGTATTTTATAGCTGTGCAACTATGTATTAGATTGCTTAATGAATTGCATTACTGATAAGGCTATAAATCCATTATCACTCAAATGGAGATTTGTTCAGAGTTTCTCAGGGAGCTGTATTGGGGCGCGTATTTTATTTGGTTAGATTTCCGTTAGTATTGGCAGTTGACAATTCACCACTGAACAATTAGCATTATTAAGATGAATTTGTGCACATTTCCGAGTCATCCATTGGCATTGGATGCCCACAAGGTCTAGCAAGTAATAAAGTTACAGAGGAACATTATGTTCCATCTAGCTTGTTACGTTACCTTGACACGAATATTATATGGCTTAAACGTGTTTGTTCATTTTTATTATGTCATTTCGGTGTTACATAACGTACGTAATATCCTTTGATAAATTAGATTTCTTAATTGTGTATTGTTGAAATGCGATTTTATATCCGTCTCAACATCTAATTTAGTAGAAATTGTATAATTTACCGGTTGGGTAAAATTTGATAGTACAATAAACGCTGAGCAAGAATAGAAACGTCGCAAAAACATGATATCGTCGACAAAAACAGTAATAACCGATGTAAATGTTGTGGAATAGTTATTTTTCCGAATCTTTCAAAAGTCACGTTATTTTACAACACAATGTCAAGAGCGTTTTCTGTCGATTTGTTACAGTTTCCATTTTTTTACAGTACGAGATAACTGTTAATTTTTTAAAGTCGAATATCTAGGACGCGTATCGTGTTCGTTTCGTGCAGAGGTTCAAAACCTTTTAAAACCCGTTGACCTATTGGTGTAAGGCTGACGTAACAGATTGCCAACCTTGACAATCATGATGAATTTCACGGTGTGAAATAATGAGACACTTAGCTCGACGCACTCATTACTTTTGTTGAAGATATTACGGCTGTAGAAAAACTTAATGGCTTTTAGAAATGTTTTTGTAATTTGACGCTTGTGATTTTCTGTTTCATAAGAACGTGTTTACAAAAATAAGTTAAGATCTAGTGAATTATTGTTAATCAAATGAAGTCATAAATATTATCAAATTGATTAATTTTAAAAACTCAATGCACTTGCACACATCCTAAATACATATCTCTATAGTCTTGTGATTTGTTGGTATTGGTGGTTATTCAATCATTACTCCGAGTGGTATTTTTCAACTTTTTTATTTTCAATACCGTTGGAGACCTAAAAAGCATTGCAAAGGTCAAACCGTTAACAGTTGCAGCTTACATAGTAAACAATGCCCTTAGCCGGCCTATTCCGTCACCACCAACCGGTCCGCAGTCCGAGTCTTAGAGGCTCCTTTCACTTTCTGTCTGACATGGTTATAACTAAGATTTCTTAAGTAACATATAAGATTACGTTACAATTATTACTACGATGTTCCAAACGTATAATTGTTACAGATCATGACTCGCGGTGAACTAGTTCAGTAATGATTTAATCATCTGTCTGATCTGTATTTGGGTTATGTTGTTGTTCATCTCCGCAGTTGTAAAGAATTGTTTTTGATCAAACAGGTTGTGTGAGATCAGAATTGCATGTTTTGTTTTTTGTAGTTTTAGCCGCATGCCTACATATTCGTATTATTTAGCGTTCGTAGGATTATGACGTATTAGAAAAAGTAAAGGTACATATTTTTAAATCAATCAATTTAGATAACCCACCCACTTCTATGAAGTAGTCGATTCCTCATTTATTAGTAAGGACTTCATGATATCATCACATTTCCGTGCGCAATAGTTGAAATAATCAACAAGAGTAGATTATGTGTAATCGCTGAACAACTAAACCTGTTCACATAATGGCTGATAACACTATTTTTAGCCATGTTAAAGATCTATAGAGTGGCAAAGACTTTACAATTATTATTATCGCACAGATTAGAGTAGGCCGAGAAAGATTAGTGAAGTAGAATCATGCTTAATTTGTTAATTTTGCGAATATTGTTTTTATCTTGAGGCCGCACACCATTTGCTTTTAAGCTCTGTTATTAACTCACGGTACTCACAAGAAATGTATTCTGAACATTATAATTCAGCCAATATTTTTAACTAGGACTTCTTTTCCCTATTTACCAACGGATAACTGGCTAGGTAAACAGTTTACTTAAAAGAGGGCACTATTAGAAGTTAAATTCATATTCTTCGTTAGAATATACAAGCTTTCAGAGCACTTTTACGGCTTACCCTTCCACTCCTCAGTCATAAACGAAATTAATTAGTGTAATTTCAGTGTAATCGTGCCAAACAGCTTTTAATGATGAAAGACTCCTTTTCTTGTTGTTTTATTAAATAGAAAACTTAATTACTTTTTTCCAGACAAATCCCTGCCCTTGGTGGATTCTGCGCCCGCGCTGCCCTCAGAAGAAGGCCATGCCGCCCAGTGCTCCTGCCCTAACTGCGACGAAGTACTGTCCCGGTTTTCGGAATGCAGCATTTGCTTAGAGCCTTTACAGGTTGGAAATACATTATAGTTAAATTATTTTACGTTTAAACGGAGTGAGTGACTCAACGATATGCACGAAAAATTGGTGCAGTCCTGTTGTCCCCCCTGGTTGGCCCCCCTGGGGGAGCCAACAGGATTTCGAAATCCTGTTGTCCCCCCTGGCTAGGGGAGACAACAGGACTAGATTTTTAATCAATGATTTGAGGACTGTTGTCCCCCCTGGCAAACATGATTTAAAAGCCATATATTTTTATACCATGGAAGTACTTGACTGAATGCCAAATTGCCAAACTGAATAACCGTTTGTTAAATAATAATTACCATTTTGATAACGAAAAAAATTAGGTGTTGGTGCCCTTTTATTAATCTAAGTTGGTGCCGATACTGACACCTACAAACTTGAAATTTGGCAGGTAGGTTCCTTATAGAGTGTAGACATCTGCCAAGAACGGATTTTATTTTACTATTTATTTAAGGATATGAAATAATACGAAGGATATGATAGTATTTTACGAAATTCCACAGATAAGGGGGTAAAACGGACTCCACGCATACGAAGTCGCGGGCGGCCGCTAGTTGAATCACTGAGCAAGTGTTGAATATTATGATTAATTTAAAATTATGCAGTTTTAGCGTCCTATCTACTAATATTATAAATGTCAAAGTTTGTGAGTATTGATGTTTGATACTCTTTCACGTATTTAAAAACTACTAAACGGATTTTTAGTAAACTTTACAGAAGATAATATTTTTATACATGTGAATAGCATACCTTTAACTTAGCTTTTGCCCACGGTTTTGTCTGCGTAAAATTTTGTTTGTCACAGAAAAAAATATAAGAGCGACTTCCTGTTTCAAAGACTGGCATAAAAACTATCCCACGTCCTTTCCCGGGCGGGACTCAAAACTATCTCTTTACCAAATATCAAAGTCTGTTCAATGGTTTAGGCGTATTCGTAACAGACAGACAGATAAAGTTCAAATTCAAGTTGTTGCATTGCATTTACTTAATATTATTTAGTAGGGATAATTCTTTAAGAGTCAGAAATAGTACCGGTACCAACTACTTACATTTTTTTCGTTAGCAAAATGTTAATTATTATTTTACATACGTTTAGGTATTTAGTTTGGCAATAAGTATGGCATTCAGTCAGGTACTCCATTTTCAGTTCATCGTTATAAAAATATATGGCTTCTAAATACTCAATGTTTGCCAGTCCTGTTGTCTCCCCTAGCCAGGGGGGACAACAGGATTTCGAAATACTGAGAATCTAGAAATTATCTTAAACGTTTATAATTGTAAAAAAAACTAAATGGTAATGTATATTCATCCAAAAAACCACCAATAAAAGGGCAAATCGCAAAACAAAACCACAGATAATATAAGACAAAACTGTCTTCCCATATAAAGATTACCAGTTGACTATCGAAAGGTTAATTTAAAAATAGCTTTATATTTGGTTTTGCTTTACTTTCGTAGCAGTTTACAGGTTGTAAGCTATTTTAATTTCATTTAATGAATTCCAAACTTGTCGGCCTAGCAAGTGGAGTGGTCATGACGAGACAAGTCTAAAATTACTGATACTAGTAACTCTACAGATCGCTTTAGAATCATGCCAACATGCTTTTTAAAGGAGTGCAAGTACTGCAACTGAAATTAATTAAAAAATGTAGAATCCCAACCACCATTCGAAGTTTCGAACTCTACATATTTATTGCAAAATGATGATTCCGTTCGAGATCTATTTATTGTCATTTTTTGCGGGATCCCGTTGAGCAAAGCAAGTAGATATAAACACGTACTATATAAGTACAGTCACGGAATGAAAAGGTTCGTCAGTTTTCAAATTGATTCCTTCAACGAATCGCGAGCACATATTACCTTTTGAAACTATGTTACAGAATAATCTCGAGTTAGAGAAAATAATCTTTAACTGTTCGTCAGTAAAGTTCAAAATTATCCAGATCAAAGTTGTTTGACGATTTATTTTGTCAAGAAGATTATTATGATTGATAAACTAAAACCTTCTTGTTGGTTCAACCTGCCATTATTATTTCTATTAAATAAAAAAAACTATTGTCAATTGGTCAATGTCATCATTGCATTGCACTGATGGGATAGAAAAATAAACAAGCAAAACCTTATTTGTTAGCAAACGTCATATTTATTTAAATGTTAGCAGCACTGTTTCTTGCACTGTTATGTTGGCAGGTTTGACTCTTACAGTACCTAGTGCAAGCGAAAACCGACACTAAGGTGACGAACCTTTTCATTCTGCGACTGTACAAGCTGACACTAGCCCATGTTAACATATTATGCATATAAATGGTATGGTGAAGTCAGTGAAATAAAATTTATAAAATCAGATTTGTATGAAAATTACATTTATTAAAATGATGATATCAATTTTCTGACTTCACTATACCATTTATGCACATGTTAACATGAGCTAGTGTCGACTTATAAACCCATTTACCTAACACCCTGTACAATAATCAAGCATTTTGTACACCTCAGTCAAGGCGCATACATTTTACGATCGCATAAGTTTTATTTCTAAATCTTAACCCAAATATAATTTTTAATTAAATCTACTAATCACAAAACAACATGCATTTTATCCTATTTCATTAACTAAGTTATTTTGTTTGTCAAAATAAAATAAAAAATTACAATCACAAAATACATTCACAAAACTAGATAGAAATTCTAAGTAGGCAGATGTAATTAGAATGGGTACTGTAGATGAGCAGCCCTATCGCATGTTGTCATACCGTGACGTACCGCGCGGCTGTTGACATTTATTTCAAAAATATGTCCGAGTTGGAATACTGTATAGATAGTATTACCGTGACTGTACATACACCTCCTTGAAGTTAAGGCCGTATATTACTTTACATCTAAGCATCCATTTGTATCTACTCAAGTATAATTTATGCATTTGTCATCTAAACGAAATTATGTTCAGCTCAGCTTAATTTGAGGCAGATAATTTGGTCTATTCCACTTTGATCACCTGGCTTTGATGACCCAGGTGATAGTCCACTTCCAGCGACAATTTAGTGTCCTTGACCACCCATGGATATGATGCCCTGGGTGATCCAAGTGGACTCCAGTTAAAATATCATTTTAGGGTTCCTTTGATCACCTACATACAAATCACACCTCAAAAAATGTCTATATTAAAAATAATTAACTTTTTTAAAAAATAAAACCGACTTCAAATGCGTGAACACAAAAAAAAAACTAAAAATTGAAAATATTGGGTACAAAAAAGTTCATCCCCAATTTTCCACCCTTGGGGGTGAAATATTTTCTTCAAATTCGCATGAAACCACCCTTTTGATAATACCTATTCAACAAAAAAATAATCGTTCAAATTGATTTATAATCGGCGGAGATATTGCGTATAAAAAAGTTCATCCCCAATTTTCCACCCTTGGGGTTTTTTTTTTCTATTATTAAATTTAAATGGGACCACCCTTGAGGTATTACCTATACGCAGAAAAAAGATTTGTTCAAATCGGTTCATAATTGGCGGAGTTATCGCGTAACAAACATAGAAAAAAAAAACATACGGGTCGAATTGAGAACCTCCTCCTTTTTTGAAGTCGGTTGAAAATGTTTGTAACATTTTTTTAAAATAGAAATTTTTTTACAGCATGAAATATTTTAAAGCGTTACTTACCTAAACATCTGGGTCATCAAAGCCAGGTGATCAAAGTGGAATAGACCGATAATTTGAGATAAACTTCCTTAAATTTATTACCTAAAGAAGTAATTCTCGTAACAATGTCTTCGATCAAAGTTGCTCTACCCGCGCTAAACATCGTCTGCTATTTATGGAGTTAATGTGCCGAGCAGGTGCTTGTTACTTCGAAGAGTTAGTTTAATCAGCGATCGCGACGGAGGCCCGTATTCACGAGCCAGTCTTCCTTTGAGAACACAATGGTTGAATGAATGACTGCAAGTCATGACACCTAGACTGGGATATTCAAATTTTTTGATATCATTGTGAAAGTGGTTCTTCGGCTGGGATAAAAAAATCGAATTTGATGAAACTTTGCAAACATACTTTTATTATTAGGTAATCACGGCACTTTTAACTGTTATTAATTGAATTTGAGTTTTGGTTAGAAGTGTGGTAAATAATTAATTTACCCTAAATAATGAACTGGAAGTGATCATTATAATACCTACCTACTCGTAAGTACTGTTAAAATGAGGAACAGCGAAGACTAGAATCGAAAAAGAACGATATCGGTTTATTGATACGCACAGATGTGATGTCGAATAATATCTTATGGCTCGTATGCTGTTCGGATACGACGAACTTGCTCTATAAAAAATTTGCTTTCCTTGAAAACAATCTCGCGATTCAATTAAAGGATATCGATTGGAAATGTTACCTAATAACATTTTTGCATTTTCCTCAACGATACAAACTGATAATTTTCTAATGCAATAACTTAATAAAAACGATATTATCCCTCTACAAAGTAATAGGTACTTAGATAAGTAGTGTTTAGAAATTGTTTATTGGCTAGGAAGTGCAATATTTACCCGCATTTGTGTAGTAATGCGAAATCAGGACACAAAAGATGATGAAGTAGGTAAATCTTCCTTAAGAAAAAGAGAAAATCAAACATTACGTAAATGGAATAGTAATAATAGTGTCAATCAACGCGCTAGTTGATGCAACTCCTTTATCTACATCAACTCCCTCACGTAGTAAGGACAATCTGGTCAGGTGGGGATTCTTGGATGGCTCAAACATGAAGGGCAGGTGCGGTTTTGTTCCCCAGTCGATGAAGCACGTCATGATGTCGTGTCCTGAGTGCCTGAGTAACTGCACTCAGGAGGATTTAATTAATGCTGCTGACAACGCCACTCTTGTGGCGGAGATTTGGGCTGACACTGTGTAGGTTTGTTGTTGACACGATAAGAAGAAGAAGAACTTCCTCTCTCCTCTTTTCAAACTGCATTTGATCACTAAGCAAGTAAGGTAGGATATAACGCAAATAACTGAATACAGATAATCACTACAAATGCCGGTCGCAAATATCTGATTAAGTTATCCACATTGCTGAAAACCGTAATAGTCATACCATATCTTTAAATTACCTATCTAATATCCCACCGTAATTAAGGACATTCCTAAGATAAGGACAATGATACCCAGATTTCGTACCATGAATATGCAAATAGCATAATCCCAATTAACCAACTTACTTAGAGAAATTTCGACAAATAACATTCCGAGATTTCCCCCAGAAACAGCAACTTTAAACGTTGTTTAGATTGTGAACCTTATTAGTATGGAAACAAATGTGTAAACAAAGTCCCGAATATGGCTCGATACAGTATTAAGATTCGGCTCAGGCAGGCCGCACGTACCTAATTCGGAGACTCCGTGCAAAGTTGTAACTTAGTTTCAGGCGACACGTGGGGTGTATTAATATCTTAGAGACGAGGAAGCGGACCGCAGACACTTTAGCTTGGGTATTGAAATTTATAGCGTTGGTAAATCTTGAGTGATTTAGGAAAGTGCATAAAATGGCCTGTAAAAGATGTTGCAAATAGAGAGGACCTTTAAATAGGAGAGCAATATACAAACGCGTACTAGCTATGCTAATGAAAATTATTGTGATAAAGTAGAAAAATATCAAATTATGATGATTTGAATACGTTTCAAACTACTAAAGTGTGTTTTACTAGGTGCTAAATTAAATCACGAAATTAAGAGCATTTCAAGTAATTTTACACTCAAATAAGATTTCTGAAAAAGGCGTCAAAACACACCCAAAGGTCGACAGCCACTCGGCGCGAATTGAAAGTGCCCTTGGCATTGCAAATGTCAACAAGTAGCCACAATAACATGAAAAAAAGGTATATTTGTCCTTTCTTGACGTCATGTTTATCTGATCTGGGATTATTGTTATTATTGTAGTATAAACAACTGTTGTCAAGCGATCAGCGACTCTGAGTGAACAACTGCAACTAGAAATACCTACTCCAATCAGAAACAGTCCGTCTGTGTTGCTGTCACTTCTAATACCTAAATATGACCACTCCTGAGTTGCTATTGCCTTGTGGTGCCGGCAGAGTAACTAGAATAGGACCATCCCCAATCATATCGTAATAACGCGTGACAAATATGCGAACATTAAGCTACCCCAACCCGTCTGGCCAGCGTGGGGAGTGTAGGCCAAAACCTCCATTTGCTTCTGGTAGATAAGAGAGGGTCGTGCTCCTGCAGAAAATAACCAAATTATGTAATGTGTGCTCAATGCTCATGTATAGATGATTCCATAATCACCGGTCTTTCCCTGCCTGAATCCAGGTATCTCCCGCAGAATTATGGACAACGTGTTCATCCCTAATTATCTCTTTCCAGTGCTGCGGTCCCTGCGTGTGCCCGTGGTGCGGCGGCGTCTGGTGCGCGCGGTGCTCCCGAAGGATGTCCAAATGCGCCTGGTGCCGAGGTTCCCTCAGAGCGCCCGCAATCCCCTGCCTCGCTCTGCAGAGGCTCGTCAACGACCTGATGCTGCCTTGTCGGAATTATCGGTGAGTTTTTGTCGAACATCTTTTATTGGGATCATTCGTTAATGAAGCAATTTCCATTCATTTCTTGTCTTTACCAGCACCTTCAATTCTCTGTACGTCCTAACATTTACTTTTTCTAAATCTCTGTATGGCTAATGGCGTCTTCAAAACCACATTTAAATGCCTTCAGTTCTTTGCGTTATTATCCACGTATCTACAAAACGATACCCAGATGTCTAAATTTTGTGCTACTGTCTCCTTTCTTTGCGTTATGTGTATCTTCTACAAAGGGCCTGATATTATAATGTATATTATCATACAAATAAATAGACAAAAAGACAGATACAAAACATACACGGCTTGTTTGGGTTTTTTGACAAATAAACAACTACTAAAGGGACCAATTTAATCAGGATCTTATTTATGATGTATCAATGTAGGTTAATTACTTAGTCGAATCGAAAGCAATGAAACAGGACATGAGTTATTTTTCCAGATTAAAGTACTCTTTTTTATTCATTTTGTGGACATTCCGTGGTTTTTTCCAAGGCAGTAAAAGGTTGATATGAATGACAACGTGGAATATTTATCAATGCAACCATTAAGTAGTTTATTTCTTCGCGAATATTGTATCCGTTGCTTTACTATGTAATGAGGTAATAAATACTATATTACTCGCATATTCATTATCATTGATCTTCGCACTTCCATAAAATTACAGTAAATATGTCTAGAACAAGGAAGTGTGAACAATTAATTCGTACGCGATCTGAATAATACCGCGTTAAATAGTGTGCAACAATAAACAATAGGTTTCCTTGATCCTATTACAATATCTCTAGTGTATTCAGTTTCTATCAGTCAATTAGCACTTGGAAACATGCAATTATGTGCTTTATCTGACGGTTTATAAGTATTGTCATAGTTAAGCTACTTCTTGTACATATACTTTAGGGATAGGTGACTGTTAGGAAAGACTCCAGAGCAAATGACAGTGACGATTACAAAGGATTTTAAAATAGATTATTACATAGAACATTTCTTGTAAAGCTCTTTTTTCACAATAAAATGAACATTCGTAACATTAACCAAAGAAAATTATAGTTAAAAACTCTACAATACGATTACTGATTTACAATGCCATTACTGAAATATTATTCTGAAAAACCATCTCAATAATTCTAATAGCAATTCTCCGAAAACCCTAAATCCAACAATCTTGTTCATTTCTAAGATATTTAGTTACTTGTATTAAGATCACTTTGCGAAAACGTTTTACAGCAGTTTGAGATTTATTTGTAGAAATTCTAAGCGCAGACTACACTAAGGGCGAAACTCCACCACCCAAAAATGTTTGATGTCTGTAAAACTTTGATTTAGAAATTGAAAGTCAATCGCAATGTCATCTCTACATGACCAAAGTTTTCTTCTATCATGTTGATTGTAGCAACTGATTTATCAACTGGCATCTGACGTGATACAGTAGACAGAACATCAGACATTTTTGTTGCAAAATAGCCTGTATTACAACATGATAAGACATCATTGTTATTAGCTCGATGTGCTCTCGTCCGTACATGATAGCTAAAGCCATGAACACACAAAGCACTCGGCGTAATGTTCATACACACCGAGTACTCGGCCGAGAGCACTGTCACTCGGCCGAGAGCACTGTCTCGCCCGTTTGCTCGGTACGTGTGATCAAGGCATTACAGTTCACAGTGTAACCCGCGCTTAAGGTTTATTTGTCGGAGAGCTTATCTCAGTTACATTTTATTGGTGGAACAAGAGGGATATCGCAAAGAAATTTTACGACGGATTTATGGCATTTTTGTGGATATTGGGGATCTAATCAATTAACCCGTGGAACGGTTGCTAAGGGGTATTTTATTGGATGAAAGAACTGAAGTAATGGTTTCACAAATCAAAAGGAAGAGTAATTAATTGGATATAAAGACTAGAGAAAACGTAATATCTAAAAATCTTATTCTTTAATATTATCTGGAGACTCAATAGAAAATCCGTTTTGGTTATCGTGGTAAATGAAATGTAGAGATTTATGTACTAAGTTTATGTGTACTGTTAATAAAATATCGCCATGTTTCTTTCTTATTTTGAAATTCACGTGCCGTATCTTCTTATTTTTGATTCACTTGCATTTAGAAACACCTGTTTCATTGCTATCCGTTCAGTAAAAAAGTAAGAAACCACCAAAATACCTACCTAAGCAACAAAAATGTTCAGCACTAGGCACCTTCTACAAAATATATTATCTATTAATATCATTTACTCTTTGAACAATTAATATCAATTTATCAACCATGACACTATTGTCATTTATTCGGGACACTAAAGATTTATGTCGGAGATTAATTTGATGCGATCAAAGACGTAAACCGAAGGCCCGATTAGTTAAATTTATTGCATCCCCGAAGTTTCATTCCATTATACTATCCGTCGGCAAGTCGGCCAAGTTAAGTTAGTTACGAATTTCATACATCTGGCAACACGTAACAAGTTTGGTTCGGTGTTGGAAATCACATTAGTCAGTTGGAATTGTAACTGTATTGTTTGTGGAACTTAATTTGTTAAGGTTTAATACAAACTACATATCAAATCTCAAAAATTGCCTATCACATCTTTCAGATCTTCTTTCTATGTTTTTGTACAAAGGTGACAAGAAATCATCGTCCAATGTGTTTTTTCTTATTAATGCTAATTGTATCCTTTTCTTTCTTTCCAGACGAGGCTGCACAGACCTCCTCACATCTGTGACCAGATCAAAACACGAGGAAGAGTGCAAGTTCGACACCATGACGTGCCCCATCGCCGCCAACTGCTGTTCCATCCCCTTCGAAGAACTCTCCAGCCATCTCCAGTCCACGCATAACATCATCGCGGTCTACTCCCAAAAGATCAAAATCCTCATCGAAAACTTCCAAACGAAACTCAAAAAGACCGCCTGCTGTCGAACCAAATACAAAATCGTTCTTCTCCACCAAAAAAGCGCGTTCATCATCAAAGTCTGCATATACAACTACCACGTCAGAGTCGAAGTCATGAGGCGGAAACTTGGATACGTCGCTGACTCCAAAGCAGAATCAAAGAAAAGCGAATACTGCGCGCTCATAGAATTCCAAAGCAAAGCCTTGTGTACTAAGTCTGCAATTCTTATAGAGAACGAGGCTTACGGCAAAAAGGCCGAGGTGCAATGGAATGACATCATCATGAAGTCAGAAAACGACGAAGCAATAACCATTCACGTGAACATTGGCAAATCTGATGCGAGTCCTTCAAGAAAAGATTCTATCGACTCATAATATTTAGTACTTAATGAACATGTTGTAAATATTAGCCTCGGCTGAATTGTGAAACGAAATTATAGTCAATTCGTCAAGGAAGACGATGAAAATTAAATGTTGTGGCCAAACGTGACTGATTTAGACTTAACTTAGTTTTAATTTAGTAATTTAAGTTAATGTAAGGTTGAATAAACTATAGTATTTTCATAGAATACGCATTTTTATTTGGCAACTGAGAGTGTTAAGAATAGCAATAATACTCCCAGTTATCCAAGGTTAATGGCTACTTTGGTCGTTTTGTTTCGTAAATAAGCTACTTTTAAAAATAGTCACGTACACAAAAGACTAGATATAGCACCGGCAAATGATTTTGAATATTTTGTAACTATGGTTAATTTTTCACGCGGAGTTACAGCTCTGAATATTCATATACCTACATCATCGGTAATATTAAAATTTCAGCTGAGCTTTAAAGACTGTACGTGCCGTGCCAACCATTTATTTTGTAGAAGTCGTAAAAACTTCTAGAATTTACTGTTGTTTGGTGAATAACAATTATTTTGAACACAAAAAGGAGACATGATCAATTTAGGTAGGTACTTACTAATGGAACATGCTATTACAATTTTCAATTTCAAATCCTTAGAGGGAAATTGAATAAGAATGAAGCGTATTTTTAAGCATTTAAATTCGAGTTTGTTTGTGAAATTGCATAAATGGTACTATTTATGAACCTACCTACTCTACACTTTGTGATTTTCCACGGTATTTGAAAATCACATTAAATACTTCAAAAATCCGTAAATTAATATTATTATTAACATTTCGATGTCTAGTAGGTACTATTTTTAGGTACTTCTATCAAATAAATTACCTAAAGAAGAAAAATGCTAAGAAACCCTAAAATATATTCATTATGGAAAATTTCAAACGAATCAAGTTTTCTTTGAAGATTATCATATTCAACAAAAAAGTGAATATCGCAAAAAAAAATTATGCAGTAAAAAATAATATTATCTTATTTCTAGAGAAATGTTACTCATTAGGAGCTTTGGCAACTTGATACCAACTAAAATGTATACTAAAAAAATCTCAAATACATATTCTCAAAGATAGGCTCTGCTAAAGGTGACTGAATTTCTTGCGCTGCCTTTTCTCAGCACGGGCCCATTTATTGTCCTGAAGCAGGTAAAGTAATGTTGGGATAATTTACAAAAAACAAATCGTTTTTATGACCATGTCTTTCATAGGACTTTTATCAACATCACCTAATCTGTCAGGGAAATAAGCGGTGGTCATGTCATCTTTTTAATCGCCGAACTAAGACGCTGGCAAATATTCTAAAATATAGAGTAATGTATTACATTACGGGACATAATTAATATTATGCAAATATAAATACCACTCCTGATGATCAAGAGTCTTCATATTCTTAAAAGATGATGAAGAAACAGTATTCTTGAGCACTGATAGTAATTTAACTGATAACCTACCTAAGACAAATTAAACACATAATTAGGACCGATTAGCATCCTTTGGCCACGGAACCCTAAAGAAAGTGGAACTACGTAAGGTCATTTTTTGTGACAATCCTAACATTTTGGAAAAAATACATTTTCTCGAAATTGCGGCCGAGTTAGAATATAGAAAAATTTTAGGTGATAGAGCTTATTTTAAGAAGTTTATCTGACCTAAGCAGAGATTCTACTTCGGCGTAGAAAAAGAGAAAAATAATAATTTCTTAAATTTAAAAAATAATTATACTGTCGTTCCTATAACTACTTTTAAATAATTATAGGTGCAATAATATTCGCCATACACCAACCTACCTACCTGCAATGCAAAGAGAAGCTTAGTGTGTACGTTTCTTTAAATAATAATAAAATTGTAGTTTGACCCAGTACAAAATAAATTTTCTAAAATATTTTTTTAAAAATAATCTATACCTATTTGTCACCTGGGTGTTTTAGTCTAACATTAATAATAAGTTAAACTTTGGATATTAGTGATAAAAACAGAATGTCACTTTTTCGGGTCAAAAAAAACACTGTGCACTGGTATTAAAGACTGTAACATTAAACAGTTAGGAAACCCCACTTAAGTAGAACAAATAGCACCCGTTGTTTCCGGGAATTATTATTACGTTAAATACACAAAATATTTGCAGATCCGCGAGAGATGAGTAAGCAAGAATAAATTACTTCCTACATCGCTCACCGGAGTTCAAATAAAAAGATGACTCTACCTACAATATTATACTAAGTATATGTATAAAAGGTATACTGAAATTCTAAGGTAAAATAAATTTATTTAATATAAAATTGTCTAGAACTTATAAGTTAGTAGAGTTCTTCCCATGTACTTGTCCCTCTATCAATCCCACACTTTACAAAGGTTGTGCGATATTTCCATAAAAATATACGGAAGAATGAAAGGTCAAGTTGAGATATTTTTAATCCATAATAGAGGTGCATACGTAACACCTTCATTCGTCTTACTGTTTATGGAAGTTAAAGACGAAGGTTCAAGATTATAGGGAAGTTTATTCCCATCGCTCTATTATAAGTTAATACACTAAGATCACAATAAACTTTTGTCAATTATGTAACTAAAGTGACTCAATATTAGGAACTTTCTGAAGTCTTAAAGCGTAGTTCTAACTTACCCACCCTATACAGAGTTGAATTTTGTAATGCCACCTGAAGGAAAAGTACTCTTAATACTGTAGACAGAAAGTTTTACTCAATGAAAACATTCATTAATTTTTGAAAAACAAAACTGCATTCAAAAACTTCAGGTGGAATTACAAAATTCCACTCTGTTTACTACCAACTGGGGAACCTTTCTCGTTGGGGGAGGCCTATGTTCAGCAGTGGACGTCCTATGACTGAAATGATGATGATACTACCTACTACTGAATACTTATAGCGGAGATGAGTGAGCCTTTCAATAGTGGGATGCATACACACCTTTCTCCCAACTATTTACGATTGCTACAACCTGATTATTAATAACAAAACTTCATCAAAACTATATCTCTCGTGTAATCAAAAGGCTTATAATAACAATTCCCATCAATCGTCCCCCGAGGTACGCTAGCAGTAACCGACCAAGTTCGCTGTTAATGCCAAGTGTTGGCTAACTGTGCACCTGGGACTGTGCGAAACAGAAGAAGACCTGTGAGAATAGCTGATACAACTACAATACAATTGTTAGCGTTAACTTTTAATATTATTTCGAGGTCATATTTACCTCGGTAGGTAATTTTAAAAATAAAATAATTGATTTTCAACAATGAAATGTAATTCTATCCAAACGACTACAATGACGATTGAATACTGATTTTAAAACAGTTCCCAATATTCCATTCTACCCCTTCAGTTATCGATCATTGTCAAAACCACAGCAAAACAATATGTTTAAAGTATCATTAAAGTAGGTAGTATTCGCGTTGCGTATTTCTTCTTGTATCCTCACAGGAAAATGTTACCATTGACATCCATAAAGAACTTCAATTGACTCTAATTATTTTCACAATCAAACAACACCATAGTCACCATACCAGACAGGAAGGAAAGTGAGCCGAAGAGGACAAGAAAATTGAAAGTAGACGCCAAAGTCAGACGCATTTTCAGGTCAAAAACAAGGATGAATCATTGACTTTCATAGAAAAACAATATGTAGAGTAGGCCGGGACATGCTGATAGTCTCTGTTTGCTTGTTGAACTGGGTCGGAGTAACGGTCGCCTCCTTACAATGCACGACACGAGCCTCTGGGCTGGGTCCACTGTCGCAGACGGCACGTGAATTTAATCATATAGGTTGGGACGACAGCACAGAGTAGCAGGCACTTACAAGTAAGTATAATTTACTTAATACGGAAACGGAAAGACAATCGCAAAATCTAAATATATGTAACTTAAAGGGACTGACTGACTGGCTGGCTGACTGACTGACTGACTGACTGGCTGACTGACTGACATAGTGATAGCAGGTAGATTTTATGACGTAGGCATCCGCTAAGAAAGGATTTTACGAAACTCCATCCCTAAGGGGGTAAAACGGTACATCATAAAACTGAAAGCCTAAAATAGGAGTTATCCTAAAATGTTGGTGCAATTATTTCGAGTAGGTATGTACGCGTTCCAATTTCCCTTTTAGTCCGATTCGTATCGCCAACAAACCGAAATATCGAAAAGTAATCATTCAGGACATGCACATCCCGCGATACGAGTAATTACTTTCACGTATCGATGTTCGATATAATTGGCCAATCGGCTTTACCTTTTATCACATGTTCTCTGGAAAATTGCAAATTATGTGCAGAAGTATGGCAAAGTGCAAATGTTTTTCCTGACGGCGTAGTCATTTGCGTACCGAACTACTACGGGTATGGTATATCGAGGACGCGGGTTCAATCCCCACGCACACAATCATTTATTGTTTTCATGAACTTTTTATGTAGGTATCTGTTAATATTGGGTGTTTTCTATCCATAGTAATACTTGTTATAAATGCGAAAGTAACTCAGCCTGTCTGAAAGGTGTTACCTATTCACAGTTTAACCGCTAAACCAATTGGAATAAATGTAGTATAGAGGTAGTTAGAGACCCGTGGAAAAACCCTTTATTTTTACCCTGTAGTTTAAAAAGTGTCTCTAAGACAAACCGAAACTCAAGCGAGCACAATTACCTACTATTAGAGGCCGGTCGATCTATTCTCATAAATAAAACACTGGATACTCATCTTTCACATTATATTGCCTTATTTTAATTACAATTCATCACTAAGCACAAAAGCGCGCGGAGTCGTCTCCGCGCGTCCCTCTATTCTGATGTCACTATGACAGCATCTCATTGGCTATAACGATACCGCTATTTTAACGTTTTATATTTTTCACAATTAACACTACTTAAATACTTTTTCATGTAAATACACAAGTAAGTATGTATGTTTTTCTCCGTTGTCTGTCATTTATTTATTTATTTATACCGGGACAAGGCTCAATGGAAACAGTCACCCGATAATTATCATTCACAAAGGTGCGGGCCTTTCAGCGTCTGTACACTTGTGGTGATAATTAGGTTTCACGTTGTTTACTAGCACAAAGAACAAAGACATTTAGTATGGTAAATGGTGACATGTTACATATCCCTTAATTAAGCCATTAGAGGAATGTAATTATTAATATTATTGTAGTTACTTATACGTTTTCATAAGCTTAGGCATCTTAATTTAATGATTATGGACGAAAACCATCTAGAAGAAGATCCCTTTGATGTAAGGCTAGTAACAAAACGCATTATTTGCTCAATTTAGAGTATGAATTGTCTCATGACATAAGCTATTATAATAACATTATTAATTTATACTAGCTGTTGCCCGCGGCTTCACCCGTGTGAAATTCAGTTTGTCACAGATCGTCGTAAATTATAGCCTATATTTTGGGTTATAAACAACAATACAGTAAAGTTTCATTAAAATCCGTTCAGTAGTTTTTGCGTGAAAAAGTAACAAACATCCAGACATCCAAACTTTCGCATTTATAATATTATTTAGTAGGATATAAACATTTTATAATGAAGCATTTTTTTAAATTGTCACAAGCATTCGAACCTGCGACTCAGACTTCAACGCGTCAATACACCATCGGGTCATCGTATAGTAGTAAAATATAACCTTATTCACATGCAAGGTCTAACATTACAGGGCATCGCGTGCAGACGTCCGATTTAAAACGCAAACGAACCTTTGTTACTGCGCAACACCTCGCTAATAAAGTCATATAGTTTTGCATATCACGAGTTCTCATAGCTCCTTCAAATGCATAAAAATGTGGAAAATTGTTTTTAAAGCTAAGAGTAGGCGCACACCGTTGATTTTTCGTCGGCCGATAGTTTAGTCGGGCTGTTGATCAGTATGGGCACGGTAATACTATCTATACAGTATTCCAACTCAGCCATATTTTTGAAATAAATGTTAACAGTCGCGCGGTACGTCACAGTATGACAACATGCGATAGGGCTGCCCACCTACAGTACCCAGTTTAATTACATCTGCCTACTTAGAATTTCTATACACCGTGTTACTTTGCATTCTTGCCATATTCACAGAGATAAAAGTAGGGACCAATACCTATTATTTAAGATAAACAAGAGACTCCCATAAAGAAAGTACACTGAGTTTTTAGTAAATTTGGTTTTTCAGTACAAATTGGAATAAACCAATTTTGTCTCGCACTTTCTACAGGTGCAAGTGGAATAAACCTAGTGGGCGTGGCCTAGTTCTTATTAATCTGTGATGTTTTATGGCTCTGGGTACCAGCCTTTTTATCCAGTCATAATAATTATTTTAAAATACTCTTCAGTTGATTTTAGATTTTCCTTTCTACTCTCAGTTTCTACTTTACGGGCTTAGGACCGTCAAAAATACGTAATAATTATTAGGCTTTTAATTAATTTACAACATTGTTCCCTATTTTTACAAATTAATAAATTAAGTATGAAATGAAATCACCTTATCCACAATTANATGCGTTACGACAGTTAGTGATGTGTTTAACAGATTGTCGATAAAATAAAATATTCAAAATTAAAAATCAAAATTTTCGGGCATTATTTTTTAACGGATTTGTGTTCAGTATCAGTAATATAGTTACCTCTGTAAATATGGCAAGAATGCAAAGTAACACCCTGTATAGTTTTGTATTTTTTTATTTATTTAGACAAACAAAATACTTTGGGAATGGAATAGGCTAAAAATGTGTGTTGTTTTGTGATTAGTGGATTTAATTTAGTAAAAACTATTTAAATAATTTTGAAACTTTAATAATCATAATGATCTGTTACTTTAATTTCGGGCGGGCGAAGTCGTGGACAAAAGCTGGTTTGATACAATATAATTTTCATTTCAAATCAAACTGACTGAAAATAACAATTTGACTAGTTTTTGACCAATTTGACCGTAAATGACGGTCAGTCAAATTCAATCAGTTTTGTCATTTTTAACACTTGGCCACCGACGTCCATTCGGCACATTCGCGACACCCCCGACTTTTGCATACCGAGCGCATACCGAGATTTGAATTTCGAAAGAAAGTTCTCGTTTCGTCAGTTTATATGAAGTTACAATACTGTATGATATTATTACCGTGGTATGGGCATGTATGGGAGTGCGCACACTAGGCCGATTCGATTTGGCCGATTCTTCATACAATTTGTAATCGGGCACAACTATCGGCCAACTAAAAATCAACGGTGTGCGCCTACTCTAAAACTCCATTTACATTGTAATCAATGTTTATGTAAAAAATAATTGTGATAAGAATCCTGCAAAACAAAGTTTATTTTTATTTTTCTACAGGTAGAGAATGGCGCATTAAGTAGGTATGAATGTATTTGCATATTGAAATGGAGATAAGAGGCAAACAAAACATATTTTTCAGTCAGTAAGGCGCAAAAATAGACTTTTGAGATCAATAGAGTTCTTTGAACTAAGTGCTCAATCTTCACCGTTACGGATAACAACAAAATAGTGTGTTAGTTTGAAATAAACAATGTTTAGGCGCAAAAATCCCTGAAATTCTGCAAAGCCTTACAGCGGGTGTTGCTACCACAGCCCAATATTAACGGCCGAACTTGTTTTAAGATAAGTAAATATTTGGAGAGTGGAGAAGATCTCTTTTTCTTACAAGATTGGACGTTTAATGTATAAAAATATTTTTTGTAGGTAATTTCTACAAATCGAAAGATTTTTAAACGCATGGGCTTAAGATAGTGATTGAATTGTGACTGATAAATACAACGACAAAAGATTTCTTAACACAATATTGCTCCGATACAAATTAACAATAACATATTATTTTTGTTTTGGCGGAGTTTTGGGCTGACACTCTACGTAATTTTATAATGCAGCAACTTTTTTAACTTTAAATCCTGAGAAAATCCTATTTAATTCCACACATAACTACATCTGAAAATAATATGAGCTTGCTGATCCCAATAGGCTGTAAGCTTAAGTACAGTCGTCAGCACATTACTCTTTGTTGCAAACTAGCACATTTTACAACTACATAAGATGGGTCAGAGTTTACTTTGATGTTCTCGTACCATGCTTACAACGATATGATGGTTTATTTATTCATTGTTTGCAAGTCACGCCACCGTGGCGAGAACCTTCAGTAAGACCTTTCGTCAAATTGATACGTATCGTAAATACCTCATAGTGTACTTTTTGTATGAATCACTTAATTCTTTACCTACCTCAGATAACAATGCATTACTTTACTATAACAGCCTTTTCACAAGATTTTTCATAGTGTGCTGAAAATCAGTTGTTACTTCTGCGAATTTCATTCGTTTTCAAGGTTCTTGTATCAAAAATGGCATGTCCTCCATCATTTAATTGACATACAAATATCAGTGGTCACAGAGTGGACGCAGAGTGAGCGTCCGACTCAGCAACGATTACTGACTATAGCATCTTCAGTCACTGCTTTGGAGCAGCAAAAGTTCTTGCTATAGAAATCCAACACACCTCACCTGGGGCTGCAAGGTTCCGGAGTGGATGGCCACGTACCGGAAAGCTTAGCACATGACGTCCACCCATAAGGTGGACCGACGACCTCATAAAGGTAGCAGGAAATGCTGGATGCAGGCCGCTACCAACCATTATGGAAATCATCAGGGGAGGCCTAAGTTCAGCGTCATAAGATGGAAATGATAATGTTGATGATGCCACTTACCTCAGCAGCAATATACGCCGGTATGACGGACAGCAGCAGCCGCTCCTGCTGCTCCCGCTCGCACTCCAGCTTCACCCGCTGCTCCAGGCAGGTCCTTGTGCCGGCGAAGGTGTTCCTGTGCGCTCGCGCTGTGAGCGCCCGGTATTAGACCGCTTTCACATTAGGGCGTTAGTAGCGCGACAGCAGCGCGGCAGCGGCGTTTTTATAATGTGAAGGGAGGCATCAGCTGTCACATAGTAAGATATTTTCGACAGCGCGTCTGTCGCGCGTTTGTCGCGCTGCTAAATCGCCTAAATGTGAAAGCGCTCTTAGGCAATGGACCACTAGTCAGGGAGATCTACCCACTTAAACCTGACTATGCCGTAATGCCCTGGACATCCTTTCATCTAATACGATAGGTACATTTATTTGACTGAGTATAGATGCAGCGATGACAGACTACAGCATCGTCATTTGTTCCTTTAGTTAGAGCAACAAAAGCTCCTCCTCATCCTATAACACTTACCTCAGCAGCAATATACGCCGGTATGACGGACAGCAGCAGCCGCTCCTGCTGCTCCCGCTCGCACTCCAACTTCACCCGCTGCTCCAGGCAGGTCCTTGTGCCGGCGAAGGTGTTCCTGTGCGCTCGCTCAGTGAGCGCTCGGTAGTATAGGCCAATGCCAGTCGCTGAGCAGAGGAGGGCTAGCTCGGAGATCAGCTGTGGACAAAGTAACAAAATTATAGCTGGGTTGCACCATCTTACTTTAATTTTGACTAGCGGCCGCCCGCGACTTCGAACGCGTGGATCCCGTTTTATCCCCTTTAAATTTTTCCTAAATTTTCTTTGCTATAAACCTCACGGAGCCCGAGACCTTTCCAACGAATGCAAAACCGTGGAAATCGGTTCGTGCGTTCTGGAGTTATAGCGTCAGGAAGGAAAACCCGACTTATTTTAATATTATAGTAGATAAAACCAAAAATATTATTTCAAAGTCCATACAAAGCACCGGTTATTGTTATGTTTACGGTAAAATATGGTGGTGTAACTCAGCCTAAAAACGATTCAATATTTTGAAATTAATAGGATGTAGAATAACTTTGGCTGTCAAACGATACTCGTACTTTCAACTAAGTTTAGAAATAGGTAATTAATGAAGTCACTGAAGCTATATTACTTAGTAAAATTAAAGTTACTTTCTGAGTCTGTTCAATTGTTACGGTACTTTTTACTTGTTAAAATTATCTTTGTGATTTTTTGGGAGAGATACCTAGATTGAATTTACTATGATCTTCGTATACCTAAATAGTTACACGACATCTTACTATAATTGAGTATGGTCTAAATTAACCTAGGCCTTATCAAGTCCCTTATCTCTGTCAAAGCGACGGACATAATATATTGCCCTTACAATAGCACGGCCGTCGGAGACCGCAACGGATATTGTATGCTGTGGCGACCCCGGCTAGATTGGGACAAGACAATCTTAGTCTCAAGACAAAGGGCAAGCAGGCTGATATGCCTTCTTTATCGTGTGGGAAGAAAATAGCTTTTTACAGAAGAATTGAATCAAATCTAGGAGGTCCAGGTCAAAAGAATCTAATTTTATAACCATGTCTAAGCACTAAAAGCGCTGTCCTCTTTCGAAGAAATATTATGGTTGGAGTATAGGAAACGGGGCGCTATGGGGCACGAGAGTTAATATTGAGTAGGTATTATGTAATAAAACGTCAAAATAATTAAATACTTACAATAAAAATTACAAAGAAACAATACGTGAAAAATCCGAGGTTCGAGCGAGATAAAAACAAAAGAATATCGCAATTTGGTCGTAAAAAAATTATGACGTTTTCTTGGTGGCCAGTGTCGCGCGCCAAGGAGGTGGCGGTCGGTGTTGATCCGAAACAGTTAATATTATTATAATTTCAGCCACAGGACGTCCACTGCTGAACATAGGCCTCCCCCAATGATTTCCATATTGCCAGGTTGGTAGCGGTCTGCATCCAGCGCCTTCACGGAATGATTGCATTATTTCCCTACTATCGCAGTTTACTTTTACTATATATTTTAGGTATTAAACACTGCAAGTGCTAAAAAGAATCTCCGTAGTTAGAGTAGATACTGGTTGTACTGGTGATAGGCTGAGTTGCACCATCTAATCTAACTTTAATTTTGACAAACGTCAAAAATCTGTCAAACTCCTCACAAAAAAACACCGCATAGCGTTATAGTTACGATCAAAGTTAGGTGGAGCTACTCAGCCTTTGTATAACGAATTTCTATTTAAATTATTCTAGAAAATATTATTTCCTACTGAAACACTAACTATCTCTAAACCTTTTGAATCTTTGTTTCCTTTATCTATTTAAAGGTCAAAGTCTAGCTGATATATTTATTAAAATTCACTATTGTCTACTGTACAATTATTTACCGTTCCTTCGACTCGTTACAGTCGTTCCAGTTACCACAACAAATAAATTGTGCACCTTACTGCCGTCTAGCATGAAAGCTTAGTGACTAAACCTATCGATGTTCAGTCGATAAGAAAAACATGGCCTCCAAAATGTAAATAGTAATCTACATGCATGTAAAATACACTTAAACTACGAAGAAGACGCCACGTCATTTTTCTATCTATAATTACGCTTCAGTCAATGCCTGAGGTATGAGAGCGGCTACGGGAGGGGTGACATGGACAATTATGACGTGACAGAGCGTATTATAAGTCTGAAGGAGATCTGAAATCTATGTCAACAAGATCTTAGATCTCCTTCAGATTTATATTGTACCTACCTCTAATAATCCTTGTAATAGTTTAAGTAGAAAACTCTGTTTATCAAAACTGAAAACTGTTTATCAGTGGACGGACGTTAAAAACTATGTTTTAAAAACAAATACAATCATTGTATCACATCACTAAACACATTTTAAAACGTTATAGCCTTCGCCACATGGCATGTGAAATAATTTCAATTTACATTTTATTCTAACTTATGGCCTGCCTATGACATAAGCACGTATTCAAACAATGTTTATCCATTTGTCTAGCTTTACAACTTGACATACTAACTTAATACTGAAATGAATATTATATGAAGTAATTTTCCATTGAAATCTTCTTAATATTCAATGTTTATAAACCTTAACCTTTTCAGCAGTCATCCTAAACAATTATTTGTACTTTATATTTTGCATTCAATGTTATTTGTTATTAGTTAGTAAAGTTTGTGATATTATTAACCTTTGCATGGTTCAAAACAATTGAAACGTTGTTCGGCTTTAAATAGAAACAAGTTTTCATTTAAAATGTTTAGAGACAACTTACATCTGAATAGAAAATCGTTATTGAAAAAGTTTTTAATTGAACTGGATTATAAATCCATTTACGTTAGATCTTAATTAAATTGTACACTTACTTATTAAGGTCGTAATGACAAAATTTTCTATGAAATTCAAAGTACACTTGGAACTTAAGACAACATTATTTAGAAACCCTTACACGAACCATTAAAAACGGATCCAAAATAGTTTAGCATTATTCGTCCCAAAATCGTGTGCAGACAAGCGTATTCTGCCCAAGTTCGTAGGTACATCTGTGTGAGAACAAACATACGAATTTAGTCCCTAGCAGCAAACGGGATCACTAAAATATTACTTTCAGCTTGACAATGCGACGTGAAGAGTTGAGAATTTGAAAGCGCATGAAACGCCTGCGAGTTTCAAAAGGCAACAATTCACAATTAGAGTGTGTTGCTTATCTTCTCCTGACAGGCGCGCATTACTCGCAGACTCGCAGTGTTCTGCTCAGATTGATGAATTGGAGTAATTTGTACATATGAAAGAATTGCTATTTCTCATTAAGTTTAATATTTTCGTCAAAAATATACTTTAGTTAGCTGCTCGCGGTTTTGGCGCGGCGAAAAAAAAGTAAGTATAGTAGTGGGATAACAGAAGATGACAATGTAAATCAAATCAAATCATTTTAATTTGCAGTAACAGAAATGGGATAACAGAAGGTGACAATTTAAATCAATAATAATTTTATTTGCAGGACAAAATGATATGATGTAGTAAGTACATATTAGTACCTACTTATAGGATCATGTGTAGCCGACGAACACAATTAATAATGCTACCAAGTAATAAATAAACATTTGGGCACTTATTCTAATTAATACTGGTCAGTTTTTTTTTTGCAGAATGCACATTGTAAATATTGTAGGTATAGCCTGACCAGGAACATAAAAACCCTGGCATAGAGGCGCGTCAATTGCATTTGATAGTGCAACACTGAGTACAGTCGTACCTGTGTTAAATTAATAGGCTAACTTTATGTATCAGGATTCAGGATTACGGGCTAATTTGATATTTTCATAAATTAACGAAAAAATATTATTATAGGTAACCTGATTTAAATAAATTAAATGAAACCATCAATCGAGCTAGTAGAATTTATTTTATTATTCATCAATAATCAAATTCAGAACTTGAATATTCAACTGCAATGTCTGCTCATGAACGCTTCAAACTCGGTAGGTACCTACTTCTTTCCCAATCCCATAAAATTCAACACTTAGAAAGTGACAAAAATTTTTAAAATAGGTAGTTGAAACAAACCACAGCTAATTTTCATAGTGGACTGTACTATACGATAAACATGTCAGTCAATTTGACAACCTTTGTCGGAAATATTATTCAATGAAAATATTGTCCGAACCCTTAGTATTTCTCTTCGACAAATACTTTAACACATTGTGAACCACTTTTCTTTCAAGACTTTAAAAATATTTTAGCAATTTAATTCATAAAACCAATTGCGCACATTTAAAATAAAGTTTGTTTACACTATGACAGCAATAAACTGACATGCAAGGTGACATTATAATGAAGTTTTCAGTTACTGTTGCCATTAAAAGAAATTAGTACCATTAGTTTTCCGCAACATGGCGAGGGTTTTTATGTTCCTGGTCAGGCTATAATATCACTTTACTCAACGAAATATTAATAACATAGTGTCACTTTAAGTTGATGAATTTCGTAAATAGCATCATAATTATTTCGACCCCTGCAACTTATTACTAAAATATTATTTACTAAGTAAAATGTAATTTAATAAACTTAGGTTTTCGAATAATCCTACATTAATTGCTGAAAATCGCTTGCATTCATGAATTAATATCTCTTGCAATTTAGTAGCTATTATTTCAATTATGTAGGTACATAAAACAATCTTCATTTTTACAAAACATCCAAGTAATCAAATTAAGTTCTGATTGAAATGCAAGTTATTTATAACTTTAGTACCTACACTTAAATGTTTTGTATTTCTACTAGTAGGGATTAGAGACGTAATATTCTGCAAAATTTGAGTCCATTGTGCTTTTGACTGTGCTTGCAAGGGAATTTCGAGTTAGCAAGTGCAGTGAGCAATACACTCAAGTGAGTAATACACTCAACATCAAATAAACCGCACCTTCCGCGACGCGAACTTTAAAGATTTTCATCTGACACAATCATGGTGCCCCAACAATATTGGTGTTATTTGAAAGCACAATAAATATCCTTAAAGAAAAACACATTTAATTTCTTAATAAATGATTAACATATACCATAAATGTGACTTGAGAAAAGACCTCACTTTGGGCTCACCTCTGGGATCAATTAGACCAAAATAAAACCAAATAATGATCACACGTGTCCTCTTTAACAGATGGATAGCGATTAATCCCAACTTAACAGTTTTATAACCATAAAAGTTGGCTCAAGCGTAACTACCTATTTTTTAAAGAAGTGACTCTGGATCCTACTAAAGACACATTTTTGGGGTAAAAACCTTTCCTTTAATGAAATGAGTTTTATAACTAGGCTTTTAAATGGTACCAATTTTGAAAGTGCTTGTCGCGGGAGGTGCGATTTATTTGATGTCGAGTGTAGTTCATGACACCTAGTGGCCAAAAAGTTGACAACACAATTTTATTCCGTAACAAAGACGTGTTGCGAACTTATTGTCTATATTGGGTATCACCATAGTATCACGAACTATTTGACGCTCACTGTACCTATGCACTAGCTAACTCAAAATTTCCTTGCAACCACAGTTAACAGCACAGCAGATTATACATTTTTACAGAACAGGAACTATTTTATGCTGACTACTAACTATATTGTGGTATTCGTACGTTTTCCGGGATCACTAATGAGCTTCTACCACAGAGAAGTTCCTGCATTGTTTTAAACATGTTTTCTTTGTTTAACGCTGAAAAAGTGCAGTGCTTTGTTAGGCTGCATAGTTCCAGCCCAAAGCCTTAGAATAAAGCGACAATTGGCTATCATTTTTATTTTTATTTAATACTTCATACTAAGTAATAAATATTATAATATGACGTATTCAATGAGAACTATCGTTTTAGCACTAACCAGTTGGCGCCACTGTAGAGTAAGGTCACTGTCATTTGCTAGTGGCGAAGACAGTAGCGCCAACTGATGAGCGCTGAAGCAGTAGGAGGACCATCATTATTTTCATAAAATATCACTTTAGAGTAAAATAAAAATATACGGGACTATTCCCACCTCTCGTTCCCACCACTGCAACAGTCCTGTATAGCCAGGATCTACAGCTTAGCCATAAAAACCCAACCAATGAAGGTCAAATTTGCCCCGGGGGAAAGTTAAACTGTCATTGGACCCGCAACGAAATTAATCAGAAGAAGATAGGAGGAGTTCGAAATTAAAGTTCGACTTCCCTCCATTACAAAGCAGATGACAGGTGACAAACAAAGGTTTAATAAAAATATAGTTAAGTCAGAAGTCGAGCCCCTAAAAACGTTGACTGTGTGGGTCGAAATCACGAAATCCCTACAACCTATTTCGCACTACCTGCCTTGGCGAGTAGGTATTGCATTATAGCATCCGCCAGAAAGCCCTAACTGCCAGAAATTTAGTTGTTTAACAAGCTCTAGTTGTTTGTCTTGTTATACCTACAACTTTGTGTATCGTAGTTTGAACTTTTGACACTATAATAATTCTTCACCTGTAACGTATCTGCTCAGTTTGTTACATGACGAGAGACTAAATAGAAAACTAAGATAACACTCAATTTGGTCTCTAAAAATTATTTAGGCACAATAGTGTGATAGTTTACTGTAGGTACATAACAGACAACCTCTGCTTATTAACAGCTCACTAACAGGTGTTATTAGTTTGACGTTTGTATATGTATGTCTACGTACTCGTACTTGTTCAACCGTCAAAATTTTGCGTACTACAAGTATGTGCCTTGCCCATTGACCAGGATGCAGGCCGCTACCAACCGCTCAATAAATCATTAGGGGAGGCCTATGATCCGCAGTGGACGTCCTGTTGGCGCAAGTACACTATGCAGGAATTGGTCGGGACGCAATGGTGTGAACACCATCTCGGTTACGTTCTCCTTTCCCCACCCGAGCGTCGCCCATACTTCGGTGTGCGATTTAGCATTTCAACTCGGTTAATTTTCCGCATAGTGTATAAACTGCCGTTGGGGCAGGAAAGAAGTGGCGACCACGGGCTGGAAGACGTAGCGTGGGCAGGCCTCCTACTAGGTGGACCGACGATCTGGTAAAGGTCGCGGGAAGAGCCTGGATGCGGGCAGCGCAGGACCGTTCATTGTGGAAAACCTTGGGGGAGGCTAAACACCTAATGTCATTCAACGGTCCTAAATTGTTTGAAATTACATTAGCGACAAACTTCGACCAGCTTTCGAGAGAGTATAGCACCACGCCCAACGATTGGTCGCGGCACGTGCCGGCAGCGCGGCCCGGGATCACAACCTAATCCTGATCATCATCTATACCAAGAAACAAATGAAGTAAGTTTTAATGAAAAGTTTACGTCTTGCCTTAAAACACTACTATTTTAATATAAAAACACCTATACTTATAAAAAAATATAAATTAAGCCAACAAGAAACTAAAGTGTCGCTACTACCTTTGTCCAGCAGTGGACGTCATTTGGCTGAAACGTACAAACTTGCGCCATGAAATAATGATGATGATGTAAACATACCTGCTGATAGAACTGCCTCTCCTCACCTTCGGTCCTCATGCCCAACGCCAGGCCAAGATATGCCAGCGTGAGCACCACAGACATGGCGAGCGATATCGACCGCGCTATCGGCATCATGGTGTGCACCATCTGCAAGATTAAAAATAGGGTAATGGCACCATAAAAAGTTTATTGGATAACGCGTGCTATGGACAATCGAACACCTAGATAAGATCAGGAAAGTGGCCATTTATACTTTTCCAAACATGTTAATAAAGTTTAATGAATTTTAAAAGATACGAGTAGAGATTTCAATAATGTCAAATTTTGACGGTCATAGTTCATTGCTAGACGTTTTATGTACATCTTTTATAAAATCAAAATCAAAATTTTCTTTATTTGTTTAGACTAATTAAATTAGTTCTTGCAAATCGTCAAATGCTCTTAAGGAGCCTATACATGTCTCATTCTTTTTTCGCCCTACCACTTCTTTTTACGCTTCGAGACAAACATTTATCAAGTGCTGAGAAGAAGCGCCGCAACAAACTCAGTCACCACTGTCTGCCGGTTTAAAATATAAAAAAGTAGGAAGTTACAATACATTCAGAAGCAAGTTACTTACCACGCGCTCCCGTTGATAGAAGGTGGCCTTTAAGACGCCCATCTAGCACGAGACCGCGTGGCAGTTTTGAATATATTTATTTAGTGCCGTGCTAATTTCTAGGTTAATTGTTGCGTTTTGGTACATATATATTTTATGTCAGGTATATCTTTCCTTGACCAGTCCCCGAAGGCAGCGCCTGTTCACAGACATGACGTGTGAACCAGCCATCGCTTCACTCGACCATATTATAGGGAATGTAACGACCCGCCTCACACGCCACTACCCCAGAGACATTTTAGTGAGCATGACAAGTCTAAGATATCCTTCTGGCTAAGTGCCAGATATAAAACTATTATTATTATAGTTACTTTGATAAGCTTAAAACCAGAAAAAATATTATATCCTAGCAAAATTTGTACAAAAATACAATGTAAAGTCTTTTACAAAAATATTTGCATGTGGATATTGCGGAAACATACAGTGAAATTTTATTCTTGGGAAGAAAATGTTACTGTGCCGTGAAAATTATTCATTTCCCTCGCACTTATAATAGAAAAACCGATACAGTAGACTCACAAAGATCAATTTGTATTTTCTTTGCTGGCCAAAATCGATCACAATCTAAGTACGAAAATTAAAAAAAGAAGACTTTATTCAATGAAAAATCATAAAGCAAAGACAATACATAAATGTAGAGTCGACACATAAGGTTTTTAAATTTTTTTACAGTGTAGACGACGACCTTATAAACTGGTCATTATGGAAACCATTGGGGGAGGCCTATGTTCGATGATGATGATGATGTACACTGTACATTGTAGTCTCTGTACTACAATACGGAAAAACCATAAAATTAATATACCTAGCGGTAGAATTTTAACTTTACGGGTAAAACAGATCAAAATAAGGTAAAGTCTTTTTAATGAGAGCACACTGCTTGTTATTCCGTTGAACATGTAGTGAGCGAACAAATTCCAAGCGGTAAACCGCTGAAGTTAGCTTCGTTTTAGCTTTTCGAACTGCCGACAAAGCGTCATGCAAGCAAATGTACAAATAGGACATACCTAGTCGTATTTATATTTGGTACCTACACTTAGATATTTTCCGGTTAATATCTTGTAACTTTTCCATTTTCCTCACATAGACTGTGGTTTTTGCGTACATTGACAACATTTTTCACTAAGACTATAAACCTTAATTATTAGGTCCTACCTACATGAAACTTAATTAACCTATTCACTGACCGCTAACCAGACACAACAGTTTTATTTCAGTTATTTTTTATCCGTATTTGTAGACTGGCATTTCTAAAACAATAACTCGGACAAACACTTTACATTACATAAATTGCTAAAACAAACAGAATTTTCACGCCCAAAGCCTAAAGGGTCTCGAAATTTTCCAATCAGTAGTCACAGATATTGCGGGTACAAGGGTACAAGTAAGGGTACAGGCTCCAAAATAACGCGATACGTCATATGTGATTTGTGCGCTGACGCGAACCGAATGATTGGAAGCGCAGATAAGCTGGCGGAGGAAATTGGACGCGTTCATCTCGACAAAACGACATGGAAACTGCCTGTTTTAAATTACAGCGTCTAGAAACACGCTTGATATGGAAAAAAGTTAAAATCACACGGAAAAAAATCGGTATTTTGCTTACCAACAGTAATTGAGTATGTAAGTCAAGCCACGCGGTGACGTTGTCTATAAAAAATGCTTAATTTAACAGTAATTTCGTCTTCCTGACTCTCAATATAACTTTCAAGAATACTTGCGCACAAAGTTTGATTATTTACAAAACTTTCCTTCAGAATATTTTGCTGTCAAAACTCCCGCCTAAATCACATACCACAGACTAAATAAGTTAATCGAATATGTATGTGCCAGATTTCACTGATCATACAAAACTCCTCGGCGCTCATTTCAAATTGAATTTCGAACGCGTTTTTCTTTTTCTGCGTTCCGTTCTACAAATTGCGGCGCTAGGATATTGCGGCCATTCGAGTGTTGTTGCGAGCTTTACGTTTGGTTTCTGAACAAGAGACATGATTGGAGTCGATTAAAACACCAGTGTTCTGTGAATGAATCTCAGGCACATCTGTACCTCTAGTACGAAAAACTTTCGAGTTCGTTTCGTTGCGTATTCAAAGTGTCATCGAAAAATTTTGTATGAAAAATTAAACAGCGCCCCCTATATTATAGCCGCCCTAGGGGGCGCTGTTTAATTTTTCATACAAAATTTTTCGATGACACTGAATACGCAAACGAAACGAACTCGAAAGTTTTTCGTACTAGAGGTACTGTTCATAAATAAAACCTTTGTCCTGGATGATGGGATAATAAATTGGGATATGCAAAATTTTTTCACAGACTTTTTTAAATTGGTTCATGTGCGTTTTACATTAATTTGGCAAGCAAAACGTTTATAGGCAAAACTCTAGTAACTCAAACATAATATTGAACTGTCTATCCAATATAGCTTGATTAGAATGACAGCTGCCATCAAAAGTAACGACATAACTTTGTAGTAGCGATCAATGAGAGCTAAATATTGGCGGACAAGAAATAATTCACGTCTGACCTACAAACAATATTTTCGACGACAGTGCTTCCAATAAAAATGTTAATTTCGTGTAAATACAGCGTTAAATTACTCCAATAAGTAGTAATTCGAAATTATAAAAATCAAGCTAGAGTATTAACGACGTCTCTACAAGGTTATCTCGAGTTACAAAAATGTTAGTGTTGGGACATATCGACAAATGTTATATTAAATTAAAACAAATTTTTTAACATATTTAACAAAATTTTTTTCTAACTAATTTTTTAACATATTTAAGTCAAGATATACGTTTTTCTAAATGTTCACTATTAAAAACCAAAAAACATTTCATTCTTAAATAATCAAACATCGAAAATCAATCACCGGTAATTTTTTGGGTATTCATAGCACCGTTGCTCTAGAAGAGATGCCCACCGCCCTCTAGCGAGAGGAAAAAACCACTGAAGAACACCGATGATAATGACTACGACTTAGGTTGTACACCCTTAACATGAATTTTAAATTTTACTGTCTTTAAATTTAAATCATAATTGTCATTTTTATGAATAAAGATATGAAGAAAAATTGAGTGCATTTTTTTATAATTATCATTTTTTCGAAAACTTATCGATACATCTATGTGAACCGTACGAAACATACCCAGCACAAGTCACATTCGTTTGACAGCCGTCATTCTAATCAAGCTATATTGGATAGACTATAACAATATTTAAAAAAAAATCATGACTTCTTGTAAGAAGAAAAAAAATCATCAGTTACTTTTTTTTTATCCACAACGAAGAAGCTCTTGGGGTAACTCACCATGTACTTATTCCTAAGTTTGTATTTTCATGCGCCAACTAATATTTATTAGGAGCTATGAACATGAAGCGTATATTCAAAAGTTAATATTTACTTAATTCTCTTCTTTTAACCTCACTTGCACAATAATAATAACGTTTCGTTGCTACTCGAAAAAAAATTTTTTTTTCTACCTCCAATCCCTAGTGGCCACAACAAAATAATTCTGTTCCCGGCCTGACCGCGCATAATTAGATAATAATTAGCATACCCTCCACTTTTATTAAGGCAAAAGGTGTTGGCCCTTGCTTAATCAAAGGGGATGAAAGAATACGACCCCAGTTTGGGAGGTCAAATTAAATCCGAAATGAAACAAGTTTGCATAAAGTTACCCAATTATCTGCGATAGTTACTTCAGAAGATTTTTGTAATTAGGAAGTTGAGTTTTCGGAGGTGATTTTTATTTGAAATGAAAGCTCATCAAAATTATGTAGATTACTTGACTGAAAAAACAATAAATGCTAGGTACTTTTTAACTTTACACGAGCACGGAAAATTTATTCTAATAGTATTTAATTTCTTTTACTATCTTAGTTCTACAATTTTAGGAGAGAGGAAAATTTTCATAGGTTTCTCATTCCATGGTACCAAAGCTTGCGCTACGTTAAAAAGTCGTACAGTCCGCATGAATAGAAACTAAAAACTTTTTTCTCAAATAAAACCGAATATCACTGACACCAATTTGAGATACAGATTTGAATAGGTTATCTTTGATTGTAGCGTGCGTAGCTTTAACATTTCACTTACTGATTAAGTCGATTTTTATTTAATGTCAAAGTTTGTGAAGATGGATGTTTGTTACTCTTTCACGCAAAAAGTACTGAACGGATTTTGATGATACTTTACTTTATCTACTTCAAAATGACAAATACACGTCACAAACTGAACAAACTGAATTTCAGCTGGTGAAGTCGCTGACAAAAGTTGCCAGTAGAAATAGAAGAAGATACAGACAATAACTCCTACTGGGCGTCGACTACAGATACAGTTACGCATTAACTTCACCCGCGTAAATGGCATTACCATCTTACGTTACTGCTTAGTGAAATCTATCATCTTATTTGATTAATCACCGGTTAAGTGTTTACATCTGAGGGCTGAACTAATCTGGAGTCGCTGGAGTGCCATTAATTTATGCCG